CTCTCTCTCTCCTCTAGCTGTTTATAGCTCTCTTTCTGTCTTGGTGGTCTCTCTCTCTCTCATGCTGGGGGTCTGACGAGTCTCTCTGTGTCTCCACAGCGGACGAGAAGGTGTTGCAGTTCGGTCGTGTGGATGAAGATCGCTTTGTGCTGGACTACAGCTTCCCCTTGTGCGCTCTGCAAGCCTTCGCCATCGCCCTGTCCTACTTCGACGAATGACCTCAATGCCACCTACACGCGTGCCGTCCACACCTCTCTCTCCCCATTACGTCTTCAGCCTTCAATAAAAACAATAAAACTAGAGAAGTGTATTTCCTGATGGATATGATGAGTGTGCAGCTTTAGCAAGTCCAGGGTGGTTTCTAGGGTGTTGTCAGATGGTTACCCCTATATTTTAGGTGGTTTCTAGGGTGTTGCTAAGAGGTTCCTATGTTATTGTAAGTGGTTGTTACTGTAGGTGGTTGCAGTGGTATCCAAGGTGATTGCTTGGTTTTCAGGCAGCGTTCACATGAAGCACAAGGTGGGTGTTTCCAACAAAGTGGCCATTTAGTGGAAGCACAAGGTGTTTCTAATATAGTGGATGGGTGGTGGAAGTATCAGCTTGGTGTTTCTAATAAAGTGGCCAGTTAGTGGAAGCACAAGGTAGGTGTTTCCAAAAAAGTGGCCAGTTAGTGAAAGTACAGTGTAGGTGTTTCTAATATAGTGGCTGGTTGGTGGCTAAGATGGTCCCTCACAGAAAGTTATTACTGAAATGGTTATGAATTCACTGCCTGATGATCCAGACGTTGTTTTATGATAGTTGGTCTTAAAATCCGTTCATGGTGGAGGGATGCATAATATGCAGGGTGTTATGAGGCAAAATAGTCCCCATAGAAAACTTCTTTTTTTCAGATTTTCCACTATTTTACCTTCATCGACATTCTACATAAAACTCAGAAGACACGTGTAGATTCACTGGTTGTTTTGGATAGTAAATAAAATGTCTATATTTGTGTTGTAGTCATGGCGACCGCTGGTTCCTATCACCACCACTGTAAAGAGCTCTGAACCATTTCACACCAAACCACTCTGAATGACTCTGTTTGCATCTCAAACACTGAATTATTTAGAAGTTTACAAAAAAGTAGAAAAATGTTGTATATC